AGAAAATCATATTTCTTATATAAAGTTCTTTTTGGTTCCAAATAAAATGTAAGATCCCAAAGTACTGGATAAATTTTTTTTGTTTATAAATCAACCCAAACATTCATTCATTAATTTTACAAATAGATATTGTATCAAAAGTATTTCCAATAACATCATAATGGTAAAAAAAATCATAAGTGTAAAATCTACTGTGGATGTGATACTGTGACATCCCTATTTTTCTCGGCAAGAAAATACCTTTTTATTTATGCTTATTTTAAATCGGAGTGATCTTTATAAATGTGAAATTGGTCTCATACAAAGAATTTCCAAAAAAAATGTTTTTCATTGATTATTAAAACATGAGATGTCATAACTAATACAATACATAAGCATAAACATCACTGTCACACCCCCAAACCGGAACGGCGGAAACGTTCAGGGGTGGAGGACGTCATGTTTAGTATCACAAGACATGCACCATAGTAATCAAAGTAACAAAAAACCATTTCATTAGAAAGAAAGTGTTTACAAAGTATGTGGTTCACATAAGATAGACTACAAAAGTAAATAACAAAACCAGACATGAAGCTACTATGCTCCATCTTCTGAATCCCAGTGCGCGTACCTGTCTACTGGTTTCCTGAGAATACAAGTTATTTTGAAAGAGTAGATCAGCATTTAAGCTGGTGAGTTCATAAGTATTTTAGTGATGTATAGTAAGTTGAAAGTTCTTTTAGAAAAGTTCGTCTGTTACTCCAGAAAATCCTATATTTCCTGATATGATGAAAGATAAGTAAAAATGACTCTATAATCCCATCTATGAGTACTAAATGGATACAAGTTATATAAAACCCAGAGTAAACAAACAATCGATTGTGTGGATCTGCCTAAGTCCACAACCAAACAAGGAACAGGAAATGCGGCGGAAGTCACACATCCCATTGTTTGTTAGATCTTCGTTGTATATAACCCTGGCGTATTCGTTTGGTACTCACGAAGTTAACTGTAATAGTTCCTTTATATTTGATGAAAACATTCTTTAAGAAAAACCCTTATTTTCTTTAGTAA